TCGAACCGGCGACGCGCTCGTGACTCGTTGTCTCGACGTTGAAGAGGATGCGCGGAAAAGGGAGAGATGGCGGTCAGCAATGCCGCCCGAAGGGCAGTCCATCTGCTTGAACCGGAGGAGGCAGGTCGGAGGATGCAAAAGTGGTTTTGATCAACCGATTCATTTGGCAGGTTGACATTTCCGAGTCGAGGCAACCACAGCCAACCCCTTCGGCCGACCGCTGGCCGCAGTCCAAGTCTCGCGGCCAATTGCCAAGATTAATTGGCCTTCATGTTGTGCTTCTGACGAGGCGTAACGAGGCTACACAATCAACAGAATCGGCTGGGAAATGGGAAAACACGTGTGTGTGTGTCTATGTGTATCTGTGTGTGTCTCTGTGTGGGCTATGAGTCCCACCAATGCCGCATGTCTGCGATGGTAGAGGGCGGCAGTGCCAACAGAGACCTGCCTCGACACCGCCACGTTCAACCGCGTCGACGAGAACGCCGTTGAATACGTGGCCGGTGTTATGGGCCCCTGGCAACGGTCACCAGGTCGACACAGTCAGATTTTGATGGGACTTTTCAATAAGTACCGACTAGGCATCAGGACCAGTTTAGGAATTGAGAATACGCTGAAAGGAGAATAGACCAGAAAGCGCAACAATGTTTAAGGGAATAATTGGTAGAGCGGATTGTCTTCATATATCACTTGAGTGGGTTGTCGGTGTGTGTCAAAGAGGGCGTCCCTCGCTGATGGTAACAACTGCTAGTCTATCAAGTCAACGGCTCGATTATGTAGATTGTTATGAGTTTGATGTGATTTGGGTTATGGCTTTGATGTGATTTGGGTTATGGGTTTGATGTGATTTGGGTTATGGGTTTGATGTGAATTGGGTTATAGGATTGATGTAATTTGGGTTATGGGTTTGATGTGATTTGGGTTATGGGTTTATGTTATTTGGGTTATGGGTTTGATGTGATTTGGGTTATGGGTTTGATGTGATTTGGGTTATGGGTTTGATGTGATTTGGGTTATGGGATTGATGTGATGTGGGTTATGGGTTTGATGTGATTTGGGTTATGGATTTGATGTGATTTGGGTTATGGGTTTGATGTGATTTGGGTTATGGGTTTGATGTGATTTGGGTTATGGGTTT